ATACTGCCAGGTTACCCAAGCCTAGACAGGGGAAGTCGAGAGGTGGAGGTCGGGTTCGAACCACGGACCTTCCGGTCAGTAAATTCGCGCTCTAATCACTTGGGCCATCTCGCCCTCACTTTCTAATTGCCGCATTACGGATTCGAGGACACCAATCCACACGAGCTATAGTTCTGAAACAGCAATTGTTGAAAACGTGATGACGCCTCAGTTCCGCTGTTCGGACAGGCCAAGTCTCATTGTCATACAACAAGACGAACCGCACTGTAGTGTAATACACGCCCCTTGAGATTCAAGTATATACTGTTTTGAAGCCATAGGTGTCTCAAATTAGCGAACACGATCCGAACCTTGCAGATTCGTGCGTTGACCTTGTCTGTCACACTACAACCAGAACTAATGCAACGTCAAAATAAGTAAAACGCTCTACAACTTCCAGTGCCTCTCCCTGGATTGTAAGGGACGTGTTCAGTGACTGCGTGTCCAAGAGCATTACCTTACTTTGTGGGTGCAAATTGCATGTCAAAGGACGAGATAACTTTGGTTAGTTCATCCAAATACACCTGCGCCTTCTCTTGACGAGCGTGATGTCATCCGCGTATTTCAGGTCAACAAGATTTTCGTCACAGGCTGTTTGAACACCGTGGTTTTGGAGAACTTTCAACGTTCGTCTCATGATTGATAGAGTACATCTCCGACGGACCCGATATGTGTACGGAAGTTTTTGTACAACTCTCCATATAATCTCACATGTCTGGAAGTCTGCGAATACAAAACTCATTTTGTTCACGAACTTCCGGGGCATATTCTGGTGAACAAGCGTTTCAAGAAGAACATGTAAGTCCACCGAGTCGAATGCGCGTGGAAATCCAGGGTCGGTTATACGTATGACATTGTTCTAGCACCTGACGGAAGCTTGGGTCAACGCAGCCCCTACCAGGCCGGAATCTCGCTTTCTTTTCTCGAGTGAGTGTTTCACGAGCCACAGTGAGGCGACAAAGCACAAGTGACACCAACATCTCGTTACGACCGGAGTCAAAGATAATCCCCCCTGTGGTTATCACACTCATTAGGAGCCACTTTTTTGAAAATGTGCACCATCGATTCTCTCCAGTTGTCTGGGACAGTCTCCTTTTACAAATGCGAAAAAACAGATCACACAAGCGCTAACAGCACTTCACTCCCATCTTTGAACAATGCGGGTGGGAGGTCATCCGGACAGTAAGCTCAGTGGCACTTGAGGGAGCATATGCAGTCGTAAACCTCCGAGGCTGTAGGCAGTTCCACGTTCACCGTCCGGGGTTCTGCGTCACATGTGGGTTCCTGATGAATGCCAGCTGGTGGCCATAACTATTGTTGTTCGAAACATTCGGCCCAAAGGTCGAGTCATTCATCTTTATTCAAGATGGTCACTCCGGCCCGACCCTTGATGATTTCGCTCACCGTTGGTTTCCGCGGGTCAATCGTACGGATCAACTGAAATAATCTTTGGGCATTGCCGGCTTTCTGGGCCTCTCCTATTTCTTTGACTTTCCCTGTCCACCACACTACACGGTCGAAGTGCACGCTCACTTCCACCGGATTTCTGATAATTCGCTGAGCCATGTTCGGGACCGGCTTGGATATGTCTCCGAGATTGAAGCAGAGCGAGCGTCCGGTCTGATATTCAGTGCTTGAGTGCGCATGGTTGGGCCGTGCCACAGGCAAAATTTCCGGCACCATGCAAAGAGGTGGCAATCTCGTTCAAGTATGCGCTCTTATCTGATGGTGGAGCGTTTGGAAGAGACTCCGGATCTGCCAGTCTCAATCGCCAAGCTATTTGTCCGAACTTTACGCGGCCTAAAAAAACGTAGGTTGAAGCGACGGACGAGTGCTTGGTTGGAATCCACAAACGTGTTTTAAAACGTTCGGCAATCAAGCACTGACAGCACTTCACCCCCATCTTTGAACAATGCGGGTGGGAGGTCATCCGGACGGTAATCTCAGTGGCACTTGAGGGAGCATATGAAGTCGTAAACCTCCGAGGCTGTAGGCAGTTCCACGTTCACCGTCCAGGTTTCTACGTCAACTGTGGGCTACAGATGAGTGGAATTTGGAGACCACACTAATTATTGTTCGCATTATTCGGCTCACCGGTGGAGGTCTTGTTTATTCACGATGGTCGCTCCACTGTGATTCTTCATGGCTTCCCTCGGAGGTGCTTAACGGGAACCGGTCGCACGAATCGGCTAAAATAATCTTCGGGTATTCCTGGCTTTCTGAGCCTCCTATTTGCTTGGTCTTCCGAGTTCAAGCTTTAAGGCCGGCTTGCTCACTCCCAATTGACGTCTGATGATTTGTCCCGCCAACCTGTGTTTGAACTTGCGGAAACAATTCTCCGAGATCTTAACAGTACCACTGATTTTTCCGATATTCAATTCTTAAGTAGACTTGGTAGTGCCGTTACACAGACAGAAGTCTTAGCTCTGTCCATACAGGTAGCGATGTCTCTCTGGCACAAATTCATTGCTGATGGTGGAGTAGTAGGAGGTGAATCCAGAAGGCGATTTTTGTAAACTTGTCCAACATATGAATCTGCCTATCCTTGTTTGCTGAGGATTTGTCCGCACCTTACACGGCCCTGGAAGACATAGGCAGAAGCGACTCCGCATGAGTGCCTGGTCGGAACCCACAAGTGTATTCCCAAACGGCCATCGGTAGCTGATGGCGATGTGGTCAGTTTGAGTTCGTGGCCGGCATGCTGTCGGAGGGCAACATGCGGCCAAACAACTTCGGTCAGCACATAGTTAAAGCGACCGTTTGTCATTGTCCCTACGTACCGACTCCAATCCATGTTGACCACCTAATTGTGTCTCAAGTGCGCTAAGCCTTCCCACTTGTGCGCCCAGATCTCCGGCAACCACAACGATGTCTGAGCTTTTTGCTCGCCTCAACGGGACATTCGGGGCGTCATACAATTTGTGTTTGATAGTATCAGAGATACAGTATGCAAACACGAAAAACAGACAGCGATCAACTTCCCGTTTATGAGACTCCTTCAGGGACATTGCCAGACGAACTGCTCAGACGATCCCGACTATCAACGGGTATCCAGGCAAGCAAGGATTCTATTGGTCAATGGTTAAGGACGGTACCAAACCTCGCATATTCCGCTGCAACAGCCTTTGGATCGTCAGAGGTGCGCACCCGGAATTGAGTAGAGAGTGGTGGGGCAGGTCGCCCAATTACCTTGCATCTTGGATTCTTGTTTCTAATACTCAGCACAATTGCTGTCAAGCGGATCCGCTGTGAGAACACGAACAGCTTGGTGTTCTGCTTGCTTCAGGTCACCGACTCAGCCAGATAGATTGGGTGCTGGGACCTGAAAATTGATTTCGAGATGCCTGAGGATGTCGATACTGGATGACGCGCAGATCTGTCATAAAGAGACTGAACCTTACCGTGGTGTGACGGTTTGTGCACTTTAACGGCCCATTGAGCTATACTGGGAGGAGGGTCCCCGTGACACTCAGTCTCATACCAGATTGGTCAATGGTTAGATGTCTGACAAACGCCGTCTCCTGTTCCTCCAGGTTGGAGGTTGGAACATGTGGTGACTTGTTCCGTGGAGGTGGTAATGCCCTTGCATTTCCCACCACCGCTACCTTGCGGTTAGGCTTTTGAATCAAGGACTGTGGATCAGGACCGTAATCGTCCTGCCTAGGTGTGGGTGCCCTGACAGTATCCCAGCCCACGTGCAACAATGAAATGCGCATATACAAATAAACTCATGCTACATCGGCCGTCGCGTGGTACCATCAACCGCGTCGCCTTACTCGCTGCATAGAGCAGGTAAGCGAAGACACTGCTGCTGACACTTCCCTTCTTTCTCTCTTTCCAACTTTCTCTTTCCCCTATCCCTACACCATTAACTACTCTCCTTGTAGGCCCAGCATTGATGACCCCGTTCGTTTTGCAATACCTGCGCATCAGCCGGTGTCGACATACTGGGGCATGTTGGAATCAATCGTGAGACCTCGATACCCAGTCTGTGTGGCCGTCTCTGATGTCCACACTCTGAAGCAAACAGGACAACAAGCTACACTTGCTTGGCATTGATATGTCCTGTGTCTCAGAAACAAGATTTCAAGATGCAAGCGCAGTGGTTGAGCTAACTGCTCCCTCAGTCTCCACTCGCTTCCGGCCACGCATCTCTGATGGTCCAGAGGCTGCTGCGGCGGGATGTGTGGGGGTTGGTGTCGCCCAAAGTCACCGGGTGGAAGTATCCTTACTTGATTGGATGCCTGTTGATGTTCGCCTCTGTGCGGTTTGTCTGAAAACGTCTGTGAAGGAGTTTCACAGGCGTTAAGTTGATCGATCTCATTTTGTCGTGTCTGCTTACGGCCCAACTGGCTGTAGCTCAGATGCCGTCACAGACAGGTCTTACGACGCCCTGAATGCCTTGTTGCAGCGAGCTAAAAGCTCAGATATCGTGGATATGAATGCATGCGTTGGCAGGCTTAGCATGCCTGAGACTCAACTAAGAGGTCGACATGGACTGAACTCGGTACGTACGAACAGTGGTGAACGGTTGCTTCAGCAGTGTGCTGATCAAAGTCTGTTTTTATGCATCAGTAACTTCGGAAATAGCCACAGTCATGTGGCCACGTGGTGTCCTCCAGGGGCATGGAGGGGCGTGGATAACTAACTGATTGCCGACCGTTTTAGAACACGTTTGTGGATTCCAACCAAGCACTCGTCCGTCGCTTCAACCTACGTTTTTTTAGGCCGCGTAAAGTTCGGACAAATAGCTTGGCGATTGAGACTGGCAGATCCGGAGTCTCTTCCAAACGCTCCACCATCAGATAAGAGCGCATACTTGAACGAGATTGCCACCTCTTTGCATGGTGCCGGAAATTTTGCCTGTGGCACGGCCCAACCATGCGCACTCAAGCACTGAATATCAGACCGGACGCTCGCTCTGCTTCAATCTCGGAGACATATCCAAGCCGGTCCCGAACATGGCTCAGCGAATTATCAGAAATCCGGTGGAAGTGAGCGTGCACTTCGACCGTGTAGTGTGGTGGACAGGGAAAGTCAAAGAAATAGGAGAGGCCCAGAAAGCCGGCAATGCCCAAAGATTATTTCAGTTGATCCGTACGATTGACCCGCGGAAACCAACGGTGAGCGAAATCATCAAGGGTCGGGCCGGAGTGACCATCTTGAATAAAGATGAATGACTCGACCTTTGGGCCGAATGTTTCGAACAACAATAGTTATGGCCACCAGCTGGCATTCATCAGGAACCCACATGTGACGCAGAACCCCGGACGGTGAACGTGGAACTGCCTACAGCCTCGGAGGTTTACGACTGCATATGCTCCCTCAAGTGCCACTGAGCTTACTGTCCGGATGACCTCCCACCCGCATTGTTCAAAGATGGGAGTGAAGTGCTGTTAGCGCTTGTGTGATCTGTTTTTTCGCATTTGTAAAAGGAGACTGTCCCAGACAACTGGAGAGAATCGATGGTGCACATTTTCAAAAAAGTGGCTCCTAATGAGTGTGATAACCACAGGGGGGATTATCTTTGACTCCGGTCGTAACGAGATGTTGGTGTCACTTGTGCTTTGTCGCCTTAGTTCGGCTCGTGGAACATTGACTGAACATGTGAGGTTTTGCTGGTGGACCTGCAGTCACTTAACATGCCGCTTACATTTCCGGGATAGATACTGGAAGTTTTGGAACGTTTACCTAACTTGGAAGTTGTTTTAGTTCTGATTGTAGTGTGACAGATGAGGTGAATGCACGAATCTGCAAGGCTCGGGTCGCGTTCGCTAATTTGAGACCTATGGCGTCAGAATGGTTTATCCCCGAATCTGATGGGACGAGTGTATCAAGCTACAGTACGGACTGTTTTGTTGTATGGCTGTGAGACTTGGCCTATTCGAGCAGCAGAACTGGGACGTCTTCAGGCGTTCAACAATCGTTTTCTCAGAACTATGGCTCGTGTGGGTTGGTGTCTGCGAATCCGTAACGAGGCAATTAGAAAGCGCGTTTTCGGTTGTGCAACAGGTGCTTCCATTAAAGAATTTCTCCAGCACTAGAAGCAGCGTTGTTTGGGACATGTGTTACGTATGCCTCACCATCGTTTGCCGAAGAGAGTGCTGTTTTCCAAGCCGAATTCAGAGTGGCGGAAACAGAGTTGACCGTCCTTCGATCTGGTTGAAAGGTATGAAAGATATTGCAAAAGTCTGGGTGCAATTGATGCTACTCACCATCCAGGTTGAGGAACGCTTGATCCCCGCTGCGCCTGGTTGGAGACGCTACAAGGTATGGCTTCTAACTGATGTCAGTGGCGTTCTCGTTGTCAGTTTCTATCCAAATTGCCTGAGTGATTGTCTGGAGGTGCAGGCACCCCGGAGTGATTATGGTAAGCTAGCACTAAGTTCCGTTCCCCGTTCATCTGCATTCTTTTCTTTGCAACATTACTTTCAAGTAAGTGATGGTCGTACGGCAGTGAAGCATCGGTATTGAACACTGATGTGATACTGTCGATGTTGATGATGAAACACTGACTGGAGAAAAAACAAGCGGGATTCTGGTCTGGTAGAGTATCGCTCTCCATGCCTTCTTCAGAATGAAGCAAATTGCGCGTTGGACGATATATGACTTGGCAGAAGTGTGTGAAGTGTTTGGGTGTTGTCGGTGTTGTTCACATTCCAGGATGAGGTCCCCGTGACCCAGCCTGTGCTTGGCCAGAGACATTGTAGGTAATGGCGGCTGGCTGATGTCAATGGCGTTAGTGTTGTCAGTTCCTTTCCATATTGTTTGATTGGGTGGTTGGCGGTGTGGGCACTTTATAATGCTTGCGGCAGACCAGCATCAGATTCCCTCTCATCCACTTTTTCACCCTAAGGCTCTGAATATAATCAAATAAGCCTTTGTACGGCAGTCAGCACCAACACTGACGAAGCTCTTTGATGGTGATGACGTATCTCCATTTTGATCCAGTGACGCGAACTTTGACATTTAAACCTGTCCTCCAGAAATCATATTCTCTTCAGAATGGCGCTGTTCCACCGGAGGGCAATCGATAACCTGACTGTCTTATCACTTAAGACCGACACTGAACCACTATCTTGGGAGGCGCTGATCAGCATGATGTAGCGGATAAGAAAGTGGACGACGTTGTTCTCAATTTTTGTTGCTTGTTGTGATTCATGAGCAGAAGTGATTCGGGGTAATTTTTTGAGCTGACTGATTTCCCCTCAGGAGGAAGCCACCGTAAAATAAATAAGCCTTGTTCGGATGAAATCCTGTTACCTTTGCGGGTAAGGAAATTGACTAATCAGGCATTCACTGTTTACGGTCCCTCATAAATTCTACGGTGTTCAAAGCTACCGCCTGCAGTCTTTGTTAGCATCAGCTGGTTTGTCCGTTTGTCATCATGGATGGTGGCATATGTAGATAAATTAATTTAGTTAATGAGGTCTTTAAAGATAAGAGCACAAGGGGAACTATAATTGTGGATTTGTCGTACGTAGTTGTCCACTTAAGTAATCTTTCCAGCTAATACTGGTCCCCTTAGTACTACTTTGTTGATTGTTCTCTTTCAAGCGCTTTTTATCTGTTCACCCTACCTATCTTGTGTTCTTTTCCATAATCACAGGCTATCCAGAGGTCAACTATGTGCGCACTCATGTACTCTACCGAGACATGCCATCTCGATGCCAGTGTGGAAACTGGTTCAAACTAGTCGATATGGAGCGTTTTGAACAGGCACGTGAGGAAAAGTGGCAGAAAATAAAGGACGAACCGGAAAACGCCAAATTACTGAAAGAGCTTGCTGAAACGGAAGAGGAATTGAACCAGCTGTTTCAAAAAGGTCGAGGGATGACAATGTACACACGGGGAGCTACGGAAATAACAGAGAAGCTGTCAATAGCTTGGAAACGATACAGGAAGACATTTTTGGAAATCCGTAAAAAGATGGACATACCCTAGCTCGTTTCGCTTAGGCTTGTCTAACTATGCCATCTACCAAGTCGATTCTGAGGTTCTCGCGTGATGCCGTGGTGTACCGCAGAGTAGCGCACTCCTAACTGTATTCTAGTTCTTTTAAGCGGTATCCTTTGTCAGTGCGTGTTTGTTATTACAGTGCTGTGCCTCCATTACGTCTTTTTAGTAGCATTTCCAGACACCGGGCACTAGGACTTGGGCAGCAAATTTATTCTTGGGTTTTTAATTTTTCATGTAATTATGATTGTAATTATGACTGGCTGTCTGGGCTGGGGGCGAGATGGCTCAGTGGTTCGAGCGCGAATTTACTGACCGGAAGGCCCGTGGTTCGAACCTGACCTCTGGGTCTCGACTTCCCAGTTCTAGGCTTGGGCAACCTGACAGTATCTCAGCTCTCGTGCTTTTTTCTGGTGGCATGACAGACACCGAACGCCAAGAGGATTTCGCGTGCTCGACTTTTATCCAGCTTTCTTCAATTCCTCATCTTTCCAGTGGGCAACATGAATTTTCAGGACTTTTCCAAGTACACATTTGGAACTGATCATGAATTCGGCTAACGGTTACCTTTTGTTGCGCTGGTTTCACGAAGTTAAAGGACGGCAGAAGAGATCAGGGGAAATGGTTACCTTGTTAACACTAAGAATGCTACACATGCACTCTACATTTCAGAAACGGCGCGGGGAACAGTGTTAGCATGGAGGTTTCTTTCGCTGGTTCACCAGAGACCACTTAGATTTAGACATATGAAACCGGATTAGGTGCTTGGAATATGGAATGACATCCAAGACTTAAACATTTAAGAATTCCCTCCGTGGTGATAGACTTGACTTCTTAGAACTAATCAACTCATGCAAGTGTTCACTCATCTTAGTTGTAGATATACGCAAACTTGTTCTCACTATGCGGCAACATCAGTTGTGTATACGTCAAACAGCCCAGTTGCGGCACATCTATGTCGCGTAGTTACCACGCCATCAGAAGAAAGCACGAAGGTCAAGATTGTCTGGGCCCTAGCGGAGACAACTGGAAATCACCATGCACTGGAATCTCTTACCTAAGCCACCGAGCTTTATCGAGCAGAAACTCCAAACAAACAGGCATGTCAACGACTGACAATACTGTAATTTTGATGGACGGATAGGCGGAAGACTGTTTGCCCGTCTCCTACAGTCTTCAAGCAATGTGTATAGCAGAGAGAATGTTCCACAACTGAACCCTCTGACTGAAAGGCCGAGCTAGGCAACGATGAGTCGCGTGATTGAGGGGTAGTGGTGCCGTGTCATGTCAAAGCGCGTGTAAATCACACTGCTGATTGGCTACTAGTCCATGTGCCAGACAAAATCCTGCGAGTTGGTGAAGTGCGCACGACTGATGATTTCCAATAAGGACAAGGCAGCTTCCACAGTGCTGCTTGGTAGTTTCCACTGTTAATTTAGGGGACGGGCTGGGTGAATCCTATCTCGCCCTGAAATCAATCCAGTGTCAATAAAGGCGTCAAATGTAGTTAGAAGATCACCCTCAGGAGGAATGACTCGCGTCAGTTGACGCGTTGTGTGTGCTTGGTTTTTGCACCAATTGAGGCAACGGTCGCTGCATCGAACATTGGTGCACATTTCATCCATTGGTACTTTTAGTTGTAAATTTCGAAATTTACGGATTTTTTTGGCGATGCATTTGACAATTGACAAGATTCGGGGAATTTTCCTAATTGTTTATAGGTAGGTATGCTCTGAGCATGTACTCTCTGTCTGAAAGGAATTACTTTTCGATCTCGGGTTTCGTTCTGGGGTCAGAGTGTAAAGCAAAAAACCGAGTGCATTCCAGCGTTTTGTGGACAGCTTTGCTCCTATCTAGAGCACCTCAGGACAAAGGATACTTATGATAGGGGCCCTTTTCGTCTACCTACATAAAGCTTGATTTCAGAGTTGTCAGTTCAAGGGTGAGTCCGGTGGGATAGCAAAGTTTTTGGCTCCGTTAGTGTTTCATACGTAATTGTGTTGGAAATCTCACGGCGAATTCGTCCGACTAAACCGTCGGAATCCGCATCAACAGGCGGATGGTAGTGGAATATCAGCTCTCTGAACTGGCCTTCATCAGGTCATCCATATAACCCGAAAATCCAAAATCAAGTAAAGAAAGCGTCATCCAATACCCGCTGCACACAAGCCCCACAATCGAAGTTCCGCTAAACACAACTCCCGTTAGCAGGCGCTTCCTCTGTGCTTTACTAACGGTTAAAGCTCAACCCCTTGTTTCGTGAAAAGGCCACCTTCGGTAGTCGGGACGCAGCTCTCTTCCATCCCGTAAGAGATCCTTCAGATCCTTCAAGGCACCCTTCTAATTTTTCGCGCTGACATTCCTTGTACACATATCGACCCCTTCCGATTAATGACTTCCAAGCGGAAGCACTGCATTACAATACCCCTAGTAGGTCATCGTAAAACTTGTGAGGCCGTGGGCCTTGTTGCAATTGCTGGTTGTGGGATCCTACACGCACCACTCCATTCCTAATGATGCGTCGCCATAAATATTTTTAAGAAACCGTCCAGCTCCAATAACCTTTAAGTGCCTAGTTGTCATACTACCCGAAGGAAACAGGATGACTGAGGTACTGTCGAGTTTTTCAAGCCTAGATCGGAGCGGTCGAAATGCCATCGTTGGACTCGAACTGCGGATCTCCCGATCAGTAAGTTCGCGCCTCGCTTGCTGAACGTTATCGGTTCACTCCGGTTTATCAGCTGTAAACCATGTACCAGCAGCACACTGGTCCCGGCTGCTGCTAAGTCATCTCGAGCTCAGTGGTGCAACTGAGTGCAGTATGAACGCTTGGTTAGTTGTCTTACACAGCCGTCGGAGCTCCACGGCGAAACTATAACAGGAAACTATTGCGGTTCCTGTAGATACCAATATGCATAACGAATGGAGTGATGCAGTCGCTAAACATTGTCTAGCCATAAACGACGGAAATTCGATTTGATGATTTTCACGCTGACCATCTCCTCAGGTGTTGGGATCCCTCTGGCCATTACGCAGTGGGCTGCGTTGCCAGTTGACCCTAGCACAATACATATCGCCTTCTGACCGGAGCTCTCAGTGCTAACCCTGTGATCACCCATTACTTGTATTTATCCCCACATGCCTCCAGTGTGCACTCATGCCACAGTTTCACCTTTGTACTGGCCTCCTAAGGATATGGCGATGAGGATATCTGATCTGTTTGTTCAATATCGAGCAGCAATTCTGTTCATTGGGGCTCT